GGGCCACCACGTCCTCCACCACTCCTTCTGTTAGCCTCGGGAGCTAACAGGAAGCAAGGAAGCAATTGTTGAAGAAGTTATTTGCCCAACAGAGCCCAGCAAAGGGAAGGCAGAGTCAAGGCAAGCTCCAAGCTCCTCCTGCTTCCCAAGGACACCACTTGGACCATGCTGGGCCTCCGCTTTCAAGGGGCTGCAGAAGCCACTCTGAGTCCCTACAGCACAACCTGTCGGGGCCATTGCCAGTGGGGGCCCTCGACCAGTCACTGGTCACCGACTGCCATCGGTGAGCCCCACAGCCCTGTGGCCTCAGGGACTCGGCTAATGCCCAGAGCTGATAACGAGGCAGGTGTCCACATGGAGAATTCTCCTGAACATTGCTGAAGAAACATCCCAGCAGCATCATTTAAAGAAACAGAATTCAGGAAATGATCTAAGTGTCCAAATGTGGGAAATGACAGGACACGACACGGGCACATGTCAAACTGAGGCTTCAGGTCACTATTAGGGACTAGAGGGTGGGATTACAGCTGCGTCAGGTTCCTGAATGGGGATGCAATGCTTTATGGGAAAAATGGAAATGAGTAAGTTGGAGCATTTAACAGATGGCTCTGGGGTGATGGGAAGAGGGTGACTATTGCTTCATGTTTAAACCTACTTCCTAATATTTAAAATTTTTCTCCAGGGTGCACAGGCTGCATTTATGACCATAAGGTTGCTTTATATGACCTCCCCCTTTAAAGTCACACTGCACTGAGCAGGAGAGGGGACCAATATCTTCAGAGGTCACACAGCCAGTATTCATTCAACAGATTTTAACTGGTACCTACTTAGATACCAGGTGCTGCTGTGGCTGGGGGAGGCAGAAGTGGGTAGGCCCACACTTCCCAGCCCCCCCTTGCAGCAAGATATGGCCACAATGGTCTTGCCCAGGGAATGTGGTCAATGTGCTATCTTCTAATGCAAAGTCCAGCCTGTGTGTCTTTCCTTCCCTCTCTTCCTAGAGGAAACCACTGTCCTGACCGTAAAAATCATTTTCTGACTTTTAACATGCTGTCCTCTATATTCTAAACAACAGAGTCACTGGTTTTGAGTGGTAAGGGATTAGATTCGAAGTTTCTTTTGTGTTCTGCTACCCCTCAACATGTCTATGAGATTTTTCCATACTGTTTTGGGGGAACTGGCGTTTCTTTTCACTGGGGAACACTATCCTGTTGTACGAAGATGCACCATTCCATCCACGATGGATGTTGGGGTTGCCTCCAGGTCTTGCTCACCAACAGACAACACTGTTGAGAAAATTCTTGTCCATTGCCCTGGCTCACATGTGTACAAGTGTCTCTAGGGTAGACACCCAGAAAAGGTCGGCTGTGCCTTGGGTTATACCATGTGTCCAAGCTTAAGTGACAGTTTCTGTTTTCCAAAGTAGTTGTAATAATGCTACCAGACTTCTATATTGACCACCAGAACAGTGTGTCATTGTGCTCTTATTTTGCATTTCCGTGATGACCAATGAGAGGGAGCAACTTATCCCAAGCCATGGCTCCCTTGCATTCTCTCCTCCTCAACACAACTCTCTCTTTACATTTTCTGTTGGGTTGTCTTTTTTGTATTGTGGTTCCAACAATATATTCTGGTTATTAATTTCTTGCTGGCTAAATATGTTGCACATATTCAAGTTTATGGCTTGTCTTCTATCTTCTTCATGGTATTATTTTTCCTAAATAGAAATTCAGAATTTCTATGTAGCCTGGTTTATTAGTCTCTTTTTTTAGGATTGTTACTTTTGTGCCTGTAGAAATATTTACTAACTCTGGAGGCTATATTCTTTTACATTTTTCTAAAAGTTTTAAACTTTTGTATTTTATTTTGCTTTAACTTTTAAAATCACATAATAGTTTATTTTTACATCATTTTGTGCCTTTTTCCATCTCAGTTGTAATCCCATGGGCTTCCCATCACCAAATCACCCATGTGCCATCACCATAGTCCAGGACACTCCTCCCTCCCCCATTCTAACATTTTTACTCTATTTACAGCCAAGTGAAAGGAGCATAAGGGAACTAAGGATACCAAAGCAAGTCAGGAAGATAAAGACAAATAATGGACAGTTTCAGTGCAACACAGCTAATCCAAATTAAGATGGGCTGTGAGTAAAATACATACTATATTTCAAATACCTCTGTTAAGAAAAAAAGTAAAATAGCTCATGAATATTTAGTTTGTATTGGGTACATGTTGAAATGATATTACTTTGGATGAAAAGGGTTAACTATATTCTTAAATTTAATTTCAACTATTTCTTTTTACCTTATGGCAATAAGGTGGACTACCAGCCACGCATTAAACTGAATGGCTACAGAATATTTTAGTAGTTTCTCCCTAGAAAGTTTAGTTAACAATTTTCTGAAAGCTAAGGTCAAGTTGGCTGGTGTAATATTACATTAAATACATCTAAGAATTTTCATTTATAAATGCATGTAATGTATCTGTAATCTATATATATCTAATCTATAGGCTCATCTGCTTATGTCAAAGAAAAACATGCAAAGATTGTGGAAGATTTAAATCAGCATCTATGTATATTTTATTAGAAGTCTATACTTTACAGACCTGGTATGTGATGTATAAGTTGTGTCTGCTAATGAGTAATATATATATAAAGTATTTTGTTTCATTTTTGAAAATAAGTTATTGTCCTTGAAAAATATAAGCATAGTTATCATCTGCATAAAAGAAAATTTAAAGCCACATCTGGCTTGTGACTTGTATGATAGTTCCATTGGGTAGCACTGGGTTATCCTATTAAATTTACTCAATCCAGAAGTCTTTATTGAGGACCCAATTTGTGGGCTGCACACTAATTAGGGCCTCACGATGTGAAAAAGAACAGAAATAGTTCTAATCAATGTGCTCCATTTCCTCACTGGACTCATCACCCACAGATGCTGCATAAGCACAAAAATAAAAGAAGAAACTCAGTCCAGCACCCAGCCCAGCTGGAGAACTCACGCTGTTCCAGTTACAGTGAGGGCAGCACCAGTGTCTAAGCCTAGAGATCACTTATGCCATCTCTCTGTCTTTATAGAAGAACCAGCTGAAGGCCAGAGAAGTTATGACAACTACCCAAGATCTCGCCACCAGGTGTGGGACAGGCAAAGGCCCATTCTTTGCAAAGGCTTCAGAATTCCCTCCCCTGTGTCTGCAGTTACAGCCTCAAGCCCCGGACTTTCCCCCTTCCCTTCCAGAACAAGACCAGCTTACATCTCACAGGACCCTTGAAACAAGCCTTAGACAGCCCAAGTGCCACATCTGAAAAGAGCCTGTGGATCTGTGTTCCCTTTCCCAGTGGGACTCCCCAGCTTGGTGAAAGAGACACTCCTCCCTTGGAGGACATGGCCAGGGAAAGAGCCCACACTCAGACTGGCACCTCTGTGGTCAAGTATGCTCAGTTTGACCACAGCTTGTCTAGACTTCATGGAACTGGGGCCCCTCAACAACTTCCCGAAGACACTAATATGGATGTGGATATCAAGAATGATATCTTTTCACGGAAGGCTTCTGAATTCACCACCTTCCCAGCCTACCAGAGGAGGAAGGCTATTTGAAAGAGGAAGGTGAGAAAGGATTAGGGCAGAGAGGCTGATGGCCCCTCCATCCACTGCCCCCTGTGAAGCAGGTGCATGGAGAGACCCAAGAGACTGTGTCCCAGAGCTTCAGCCCTCCCCCAAGCCTCTAGAGGCCCAGGGCCAACTTCAAGAAGGATTCCCACACCAGCTTTCAGGCAGACCCACCCCCACAAGACCCACCCCCACAAAGCCTTAGAGAAATTTAGTAGCTGTGAGCCACTCCTCCCTCCCCCTTCCCTTAATTGGGAATCAAGCCCCAGGAGCTGGACTTCTGCTCAGCAATCTGGCACGACTGTGCCATCACCATATTAGGAGAAGCACTAAGGCTGTGTGTGGGGCTGAGGGAGAGGGGGCCGAGGAAAGCAGCTCTCCCATGGTTCTGAGCCTCAGTTTCCCCACCTAAAAGAACATTTCTCATTCCTTCTGCCATGCTATGGGGGTGGTGAAAGGTGTTGAGGGGTGTAGGTGTGTCGGGGGAACAGACGAAGGGGTAGGCTAGGGTGTTGAAGGGACACAGGGTGGTGGAGACAAAGTTGAGGTGGCAGTGGTGGGGCCAGGATGGGTGTGGGGGGGAGGATGGGGTGTTGAGGGTGGGAGACAGGGGCTGTGGGAGGGGAAACAGGGTGGAGTTAAACAAGGAGGTTTCGGGAATCACAGGATGGTATCCTAACAGGGGTGATGTGAGCAACCGTTCTGTGGGGGGCTGGGGGGCTGGGAGAGAACGCGGAGGGTACAGGGGGTGAGGGGGCAGAAGCAGTGAGAGGGGGCGGCAGTGGTGTGTGTGCCCACGCCTTTCATCATTAACAAGCATAACAGAAACTGAGCCACCTCCCAGGCACCTAGCGTTGCGCTCCAGGATCATCTCGACCCTCGCGGGGACTCTCTCGTAAGTTATCCCCAGTTTGCAGACCTGGACACTGAGGCTCAGAGACATGAAGCGACCGGCCTACGGGCACCCCGCTGAGGGGAGCTCTGGGAACAGGCGCGACTCCCGAGCTCCAGGCTCAAAGCTGAGAGCAGAGAGCATTACGACCACGACGTCTCCTTTCTGGTTTCTTCTGGTCGAGGTTGGGGTCCTTTAATCAGCTGGAATTCTCCAGGCGGCAGAGGGTCGAGCAAGCGGTGCCGATCAGAGAGCCTCGACTGCCCTTCCCAGAGCCCCCAGGCTCGGCGCCCCCAGCGCTCCCTCCGCTCACCCCCGCATGCGCCCTCAGCCGTCCACCCGCGTTCGCCCTGCCTGGCGCGTACCCCGCCGCTCACTAGCACACACACCCCCAGCTCCCCTTGCGCCCCCCGCCCCGTTCACCTGGGATTCACGCACCCTGCTCTTCCCCCACCGGCTCCCCTCGGCAACCCCAGCTCCCAGAGGCTCACCTCGCGTACTTCGTCTTCTGGAAATCCAGGAGCCGGGGAGCGAACATCTTGGCGGTTCCATCAGCCTCCAGCCCGGGCTCAGACAACGGGAACTTGGAGGGACTGGCCGGCTGGAGGCGCCGGGCGCGGG